CCTATTCTCAATTGGTCTAATTTTTTGTGTAAGTCTAGTGGGCTTATTTAAATCTTTTCAAGTTAGCCTAAAACTACTTACCCGGGATTTAGAGCCTTACAAGTTGGATAAAAAAAGTTGAATTGGTCATTGAATCATATTATGAAGTAGTCATGAATTGGATCTCAACTGTCACTCTTAGACCTTGGATGTGGTGAAACCTTTTTGAGGATATTGATTAAGTGGTGATTAAGATTGGGAGATTTCATTTGTTTTTTTTCCTCAAGTTCGATGAATGCCATGGCCGATCAACTTACAAAAGCGGGTCCAAGTAGGTAGGATTTGTTCAAGGCATTTTGGTAATGAATCCCAACAATGAAATTGAAAGTTTCAAGTAAATGATGGTCCCCACGCATATTAAACAAAGAAATTTTAAATGGGAGGTTATCACCTTTTTCCTTGCAAGGAGTTGTTAGATATAGAGGTTGCCCTTGAAATGGTTTTACCTAAATTTTGTGGCAAACATGTGGACAAAAAGACATGCAAAGTTATCATTTTTAGAGGATTACAAGAAGATCAATTTCATTTTAATATGCAAGAAAAGGCTTATGAAAAAATAAGAGAGCATATGGGTAGTAGATACCAGTAGGCATGGGTTTTCAATTCCAATTTCTATTGTCTTTCCAAGTTCAACCGTTGAAGTCAAATTTTCATGAGGGAAAGTTTTAAGTTGGTGATTGTGTTCCAAGGATGAGATATGGTTTTCTTTTATTGGCTGGTGAGAGTAATGATGGTTTTGTAAGAGTTGATTTAGAAGCTTGTAGAATTACATTTTTTTGTTTTTTTTTTGTTTTTGGAGTGGTTGTGCTTGTTATGAATGCAACAGTTATTGGTTGGTACCGTTGTCATTTCTTGGAGTTGAATATTGTGGTTTTCTATTTGTAATTCTTGTCCAGGAAGTATATATTTTTTCCTCCATTTAGGATTAGAAATTTTTTATTGAGGCATACATTCTGGATAGGATTTGTCTAAATATTAATAATATCACCTTACCAAGCAAAAAACAAAAACACCATAACATCACTACTCTTCAGAAAACTCCACCAGTCATCCATATTGATAATCAAATCGTCTCGTTCAACCAAGTTATAGGTCGTATCTTTATGTTGAAGAGTAAATCCTTCACACTGCAAGATTTCTCCTTCATCACCAACTCATTTCTAGAAATCCAATTATTCCATAGTGTTGCTAAAAAATATATAAGCCAAATACTTCTAATAGTTTCGATAAACCTTGGTTCAAAAAAAGTTAAAAAAACCATTGATGTCATTCGAACGAGGCCAAGAGATATTCTACTAGTGACAAATTCTTCTCCAAAAGCTGTCAATAAACCTGCAATCAACGAACAAGTTGTATGAACTTTCTAAATGAGTAGCACACCAGCCACAAGCACATTTTCCTTCCTTGATATCAATCCCTCAAGTCCTAAGAAAGTCTTTCATCGGTATTCTATACAATTTCAACATCCACAAGAAACCCCTAACCTTCCGAGGGACCTTTACCTTTTATTAATTTTCAAAATTAAAATTTTGTGTTGCATAGAGCAAAATCGCAAATGATAATTTGAGAAAATAAAAATGAAGATAAAGAATACACAAATTTTACGTGAAAAACCCCTAAATAATATAAGGTAAAAACCACGGACAACGGTAGAAGAATTTTACTATGAGAAAATAGGAATTACAACTTATCTGTATCTACCAAGGAGAAAACAATAATAATTCTCTCTTGATAAAAATGAAAAAACAACTCTCAAGAAACTCTCAAAATTCTCTAGTATTGGGAGAAAGCTAGAATTATTTGGGATGGTTTTGAAGCTAAATGAGCTAAGGTATTTATAGTTGAAGCTTAAGGACTAATCTTATAAATACCCTAAAGTACAATGACTAAATTATGATTTTACCATTGTCCAAAAATTCAACAAAATCAAGTTGTAATTTCGGTGCCTACAATTGTTGATAAAATTTAATAATTTTTTTTCTTCTTCAACCATGCACTTTCGGTGCATTGATTTTAAACAATCTCCTACTTGAAGATTTGATTGGAACAATCATATCTTCACACCATTCTTTCTACCTTGTACCTTCATTTTGCTTATGTTTATGATAGGCCACAAGAGGATCGACATCGAGTAAATGTATCAGCATTTACTGCCTTTGTCATGAAATCTGCTATGTTGTCTTTGGTATGGATTTTCGGCATATCTACCGTCACTTCTTCCACCTTTTCACGAATGAAATGGTACTAAACTCATATGTGCTTTGTCCTTGAATGAAATGCTGGATTCCTTGCTAGTTGCAAGGTGCTTTGACTATCACAAAATAGAGAGACATACTCTTGATTGTGCCCAAGCTCCTCCAATAGCATCTTCAACCAAATTACTTATTTACTGGCTTGCGTAGCTGCTATATATTCTGCCTCTGTTGTGGATATAGCCAAAACTGATTACAATTTTGAAACCCAGCTTACAGCTCCACCAACAATTTTGAACACATATCCAGTAGTAGATTTGCTTTTATCCAAATCCCCTACATAGTCAGAATCTACATACCCATTGATTAGTAAGTTTGATCCTCCATAACATAATGGAATATTTGAGGTCCCTTTGATGTATCTCAGTGTCCCCTTTACTATAATCCAATGCTCTTTGCCTGGACTCACCATGTACCGACTAACCATTCCCACTGCTTGTGCAATATCTGGTCTTGTGCATATCATAGCGAACATTAAACTTCCCACTACCGATGCATATGACACTCGAGAAATCTCCATCATCTCTTATTCACTGCTAGGACTCATAATGAAGGATAATTTGAAGTTAATAGGAAGAGGGGTAGAAATTGACTTACAATCTTGCATGTTGAATCGTGACAAGATATTCTTCAAGTAATTCTATTGTGAAAGCCAAATCTTCTTATTACTTATGTCTCGGTGAATTTGTATCCCTAGAATCTTGTTTGCTGATCCCAATTCCTTCATTTCAATTTCCCTAGCCAGTTGTGCCTTCAATTCTTCAATATGATCTTTGTTGGGTCTTTCAACCAACATGTCATCCACATACAATAACAATACAAAAAAATCGTTATAACCAAACCTCTTGAAATAAGCACAAGGGTCTGTATTAAGTCTGTTGTATCCAAGGCACATAATGAAGGAATCAAATCTCTTATACCAACACCTCGACGAATGCTTTAGACCGTACAGAGATTTGTTCAACCTGCAAACTAAGTTCTTTTTTCATCTTCTTTAAAACCTTCAGGCTGGAGTGTGTAAATCTTTTCTTCAAGATTTCCATGAAGAAAAGTTGTTTTAACATCTAGCTGCTCTAGATGTAAGTTCAATGTAGCACACATTGCCAAGACTACTCGAACTGTTGTTAGTCGAACCACACGAGAAAATATTTCATTGAAATCAATACCTTCTTTTTGAGCATATCCTTTGACCACTAGTCTTGCACAATACCTCTTAACTTGATCGTCACCATTTTGATTGATTTTGAAGACCCATTTGTTACCAGTTAGCTTCATTCCTTGTGGTAGTGACATAAGGTCCCATGTATTATTTTTATGAAGGAATTCGATTTCTTCTTGCATCACCATCATCCACAGTGAAGCATCTGAGCTGTTTATTGTCTCCCGGTATGTTTATGGCTCACCGTCATCTGTTAAAAGGCAGTATGCAATATTTTTTTCTATAACATAATCTGAGTTCCAATTGGTATGTCTTCTCACACGATCTGATTGACGAGTTGTTAGAGCTTCAGAACTCTCTGGTTTTTGTTCATCTTGTGTTGGTTCTGCTTTAGAAGATCTCCTTGTTCAACCTCCTTTTCTATATGTATCTGTGTAGTCTCTAACTTTTCAACGCTATCATCATCTTTTTTTCTTCGTACACTACTAGAAAAAACCCTTTTAATGACGTGCATTGCGCGTCATCTATGGGTGCGGATGACACAAAAATGTATGTCGTTGAAGCCATCGACCTGAATCTTAGAGGACGCGTAATTGTTTGTCATAAATCTATGACGTGCATTGATGACACACATTTATGACTCACATTTATGACGCGCATTGAGCGCCATTGAAGCCCCCGTCATAAATGAAGATGACACATATTTGTGTGTCATAAATTTATGACACGCATGCGTGACTCACATTGCGTGTCATTGAAGCACACATCATTAAAAAAGATGACACACATTTGTGTGTCGTGATTGTATTTTATATATATATATATATATCATATTATATATAAGCAATCTATTTGTATACAATATATTCACATTAAGTTGTAAAAAATATTGTAATCATATGTACTATCTATGCTGCACAAAGAAGAATTGAAACCAAAGCCTATGAATTCAACAATATAGTCCTAGTTCATATATTATATATAATATATATCATATTATATATAAGCATATTTGTATACAATATATTCACATTAAGTTGTAAAAAATATTGTAATCATATGTACTATCTATGCTGCACAAAGAAGAATTGAAACCAAAGCCTATGAATTCAACAATATAGTCCTAGTTCACATAGAGTTATTTCGTTGGATGTAATCAAATAATGCACTTTGTTTCCACATATTTAGAGCTTTGAGCATCTGGATAAAAGCCATATATATGTGCAAATAGGCAGTGTTACCAAACCTGTATTGACAACAAAAAAATGAGGATGCTTAGAATATGCAAAAACAATATCAACAAAAGGTAAGCAAAATAAAAACAAAGATGTCAAAATTTTGCTCATCCAGTAAATAATAAGCTCCATATCGTATAAGCAATTTGCAACCTATAGCATAAACCTTTTGGCAAATCAACATCTTAAATGCATTTAAAATTTAATTTTCATTAAAAGTATAAGAAAAAAAAATTAGTGCTGTCAGAACCAGTTTCAGGGCAAGACATTAAGATATGAAAACACAGAGCAAGACAAATTCTCTTTCACCTTATCAACCATAAATCCAAACAGTAATGTATCTCTTTCACCTTATATCAACCCAAGCATCTTTGTAGTCAACAATATACGGATTATTTAGTCTTGCAATCAATTCCATCTGCAATACAGCCAAAGAACACAAGACAAATTCTCAAACATGCAATGACTTGAGATGAATTAAGGGAATTTTATTTTACGAAGTTTAGTTTATTTATATTTTACAATTAGGATTATGTTTCTTAACAGATAATATAAGGTTTAGGAGATAAAAGTTGGGAAGAAAATAAACTTAGTAGTATTCTTAACTTGCAATCCATAGCCTATAAAAACAGTTTGTGTATTTTGCTTTTCAATGAGAATTTCAATTAAAAAATTTCTTTTTATTCTCTCAAGTTCGCAAAAGGGCATCCTAATTTTTCTTGGATAAGTGAAACCATTTTTGTCTTTATCTCATATAAACTCTTAATCAACTAGGAATCTTTTTAACTCAAAATGTACAAAGTCGAAAGGCTATTCCCATCAAAAGATATATATGAGATTAACATTCGATGTAGAAGATTCTCTCAATCAAAACAGTGATTTTATCTACCTCAACCTTAAACCAAGCACACATTATGCGAGGGTTTCCTCGAGGAACATATGAAGTTGGGAGGAGGGATGAATGGCAGAGGTGTATGATATGTTACTTGGACTCGAGGTGAATATAAGTATGTATCCGGTATGCATATAATCAAATTTTAGTATCTGTTTCATGTATTTGGAGGATTGTACTTCATATTAATGTCTGAGTATGTGTCGAACACAAGTATATTTGAAGGAAAAAAATAGTCTAGGTAACATAAGTAGCAGCATATACATATTTCCAGATTATTTCAATGGTTGTCTTTAGATTTCAGACGAGTTGTGAGCAGGTGCGTGTTTGCATACGTGCATATTTTGTTAATAGAAAGACCAAAAATAATACATCTGAAGGTAGGATACGTTAAATATATCAGTCTTGTCTTAGCAGATAAAAGAAGGAAATATTCAAGATCACAACTTTCAGAGAAGCAACAGAGTAGAAAACAGTGTTAACACGGGTCTCAGGGTATAAAACATCTGTTTGGCTAGATAAAGAGGTGCAACCTAGAAGCTATCATAAATAAAAGGTGTCATTGTTGAACAAAACATGGACATCCCGTAATCAAAATATCTCCTAAATCAAGATTTTAAAGGTCACGGTTTCGTTCAAGCACAAGAAGTTCAACACTAAGAAAGGTTAATTTATGCAAGTGTATCGTGATAACGATCAGATGGAAAATATTTAAATCCTAATCGAGTATGGAATAATCCATGCAACTTTCAGTCATCACAATTCGCATGTTAATTATATAAAACAAACGTGAAGAGTGAAATTTTGGTTTTAAAAAAGTGACCTCTTGGTGAGCTGTACGCTTAAACTTGTCTGTTTGCTTGGCCAGCCGGATCTTCTTCAACACATACCTAACAGAGTAAGAAAAATAAAAGAGAATCATACAGACTTGAGGCTAAATTCAATAATTAATTGCTAAAGGACAACATGTATTACAGTAATGAAAAAAGGCCACATATTGAGAATATGGTCTTTGTTGTTTAACCAATCCCATAAATTCATTATTCAGATAACAAAACGAAGAACAACCTAACATTATCAATCCCATGGAAATTTATATCTAACAACTATAATTATTGAAGGGGGAACAAAACTCACTTGTCTGTTTGCGTGTGTCATTAAAAGTATATTTTCTTGTAGTGATAAGAATATATACTAAAGACAACGTACGGTATAAGTCAAATTTGAATAAGGTATAGCTTACCCCCTAATTTCAGCAAGGCTACCCGTGAGTTCATAGCAAAGAGAATAATAAAAGTACAATCTCGCAGCTAGGACATCGAAGGTCCTCCTATTCAGATTCTTCAGCCGAGCAATGCTTGCAGAGGAGCATGCCTTCGCCTGAAACGAGATAACATTATGTATAAAGAAACATGAAACGTCTTGCACAGCTCCCATTGTTGATACTCTAATATCGTATTTCACCGTCACCATCACAAGAGCAGATAAGATTATCTTTAGTTGGATGGAAGTCAAGTGACATAACGTTACCTGAATGTCCTATAAATGTACGAAGCGAATAACCAGGATGCATAAATTTTCAAGGAAAATTAAATGAAAACCGAGAAGAAAGAAAACTCAGAATGAAATAGGATGAACATGCAGAATGCTTTAAATGAGAACATTAAGGGGTTTTAAATGGACATACAAGAAGACATAACTAGCTCAAAAACCAAAATAACAAGTAAATTGAAAGAAAAAAGTTCACTAACACTGTCAGCATCCCAAACTCTGACAGTTTTGTCAAATGAAGATGTTGCAAGGCGTGATATGCTTGGACTGAAACAACATAATATTATGCGTCAAACCAATCCACTTGCATTATGTATAATGAATAATAGAATACGAGATGAAAGTGTATCCCTAAAAATTAGAAAGAAGTATAGATGAATGCGCCCACACAATTGCATGGTTTCTTTCGGAAAAATTCAGGTAGCATTTGGATATATAAACAATACATCAAAATCATGAAATAGTCGCAATAACCAACATTCAGAATAAGACTACAATGTACAAAGTTTAATAAGATTACGTATATATGCTTAAATATGCTTGTCTCAAACAGGATGTATTAATTTTCATAGCCTTTTGGAAAAGAATTAGGACAATATCATATTCACTGTCCAAGAAACAAGGACATAAAATGCCAACAGAGTGAAACTACAATGTCCCACAAAAGAGGCTACATTAGATTCACTGCAACAACAGACTATCAAATCGTAACAACCATACGAGTAATATTTATACACCTTTAGTTAAATCCATACATCGGCCAACAGCATCCCTAGGATCTGTATCATCATGGGATAAAAAAGACTCAACGTTATCATCAAGAGACCGATCCTCCACAAACCGATCCATTTCAGCCTACAATTCAAGATCTTTATCACCCCACTGCCAAAATGGAGTTCCAATAAAAAATTATGCAAGGAATTTTTATTTCCTCCACAAACATTGGAAATTAATTAATTCTTACTAACTGATTCGAAGGTGATGCAAGTGTGCCAGCACCATCAGCGCTAAACATCATTATAGGCTTGGAAGAACTCCCGCTATGAGGAAGAGTGGGCATTGAAATCACATCTCCAGGAGCGTGTGTTGATGGTGTAGAAGGTGCTGAACTAGGGGAGGGTCCAGCTATGTTTGCTGTCCCTAAGCTATTTGCAGGGCCTGAAGATGGCACCGGCTGTTTTCTCTTTCTCTCATTCTGGTTTTTTGAAACCTTCAAATGAATTAAGGAAATTATGTTTGGAACCTACTCATGTATGCTTTCAAGCTAAGAATCAGAGCTCAAATAACAACTTTATATTACTTTCCACATCTTGAGTCATAATGGGGGGTTTTTAAGAATGGGGGAAATCAAATAACAAGCTAAGCGGGAAAGGATGAAAATAATGGGGGGTAAATTAAAAGACGAATTTTACAGATGAAACACAATTAAAAATGTACTCCGTGTTTTTACAAATGTTTTGGATTATGACTATTAAATATGACATACATTATTGTAAGTCATAAATTGTTCAGATTTTAAGAAACATGACTTTTTTTTATGACACATTTTTGCAAGTCATAAATTAGCGTGTGTCATCATTCGTGTGTAATTAAAGGTATATTTTCTTGTAGTGGTAGTTTATCTTCTACAAAGATAACTACCCCGCTGATGATCACTTTGAGGGCAGTGGGATCCCATAAGCGATACCCATTGACTCCATCAGCATACCCCAAGAATTTGCATTTCCTGGATTTTGGATCCAACTTTGAGATTTCTTGGGAGTTGTATATCACGTACACAATACTTCCAAATACATGGAGGTTTGAATAATTAGATGGTTTACCAGTCCACATCTCTAATGGTGTCTTCAGCTCTATTGCAGTTGATGGAGCTCGATTCACCAAATAACAGGCGATATTGACTGCTTCTGCCCAAAATGATTTTTCTAGGCCTGCAGCTCTCAACATTGCTCATGTTCTTTCTAACAAGGTTCTGTTCATCTGCTTTGCCACTCCATTTTGTTAAGGAGTGTTTGCCACTTTGAACTGTCTTTTGATGCCTTATTTCCTGTAAAAGTCATCAAATTCTTCGCTTGTGTATTCTCCTCCATTATCTGTTCTGAAACACTTGATCTTATTTCCAGAATCAAGTTTCACTTGCGTTTTGAAGTTTTTGAAAGTTAAAAACACATCTGACTTCTTCTTAATAGGGTACACCCAATATCTCCTAGAGTAGTCATCAATAAACGAGATAAAGTATTTTGCTCCGCCTAGGGATGTAACTGGTTCTTGCCATACGTCAGAGTGAACTAATTCTAGAACACTTTTGCCTGTAGAATTTGATGTGTTAAATTTCAACCGGTGCTGCTTACTTGTTATGCGATGCTCACACAAAGTAAGTGATACCTTTGTTAAGCCTGAAAGTAGCTTTTGCTCCACAAGGACTTTCATTCATTGTTCTGACATGTGTCCAAGTTTGTGATGAATAGCATTGTAGAATCTAAACTACATGAGGCAACAAAAGCTTCTACTTCTTGCAAAGTCTCTCCCTTCAGCATGTACAAGTTTACTGCTATATTTTTGCCTTTCATCACCACAAGCGCTCTATGGAACACCTTCATGATTCTTTTCTGTGTTTCAATCTTGCTTGCATTATTATCCAACAATCCGTAGGATAATAAATTTTTCTTCAGGCCTTTCACGTGTCGATCAATTCGAACAATTTTAATTGTTCCATCACACATCTTCAATTTGATGGTTCCCACGCCAACGATCTCTAAGGCATGATCATTGCAACTATACACAGATTTTCTTGAGATATGTTCATAATGATAGAACCATTCTATTCTTGAGGTCATGTGATATGTTGCTTCTGATTTAATGAGTCATATATCTGCAAATCTTTTTCTTACTTCCACGGTGGTTGACGCTTCATAGTATACAGTATCTCTATCATTTGAAGTGTTTGCGGTATTGCCTTGTTGATTGTAGTTTTTATTTAGACTCCAACAATCCTTCTTCAAGTGACCCTTCTTTCCACAGTTGTATCACTTTAAAGTCTTTTTGCTTCTCGACTTTGATCTACCATGTCTATGACTGCTGATTTGGCCACGTTCTGTTGATCTCCCTCTCATCTTTGTCAATGCTTCAGCTTGTTACAGATTTGCTTGTCTATCTTCCTTGTTCTTGCACCGATTTTCTTCTTGTAGAACAGCAGCTGCAACGTCATCGAAGACTAGACTGGTCACATTACTGTTTGTCAAGTTGATGATGAGTTAATCATACGAATCAGGTAAACTTTGAAGTAGAAGTTCAGCACGTTATTGTTCTCCTATTGTACATCTTAAGGATGTAAGATGAGAAAATAAAGTATTCAGGTGTTTAAGTGCTCCATCACTCAAGTAGATTCTGGCATCCGGAGAGTGTACAATTTCCTCTTAAGGAAAATTTTATTGTGCATTGATGTGGCCTCGTACAATTTGGTGAGATGATCTTTAGCTGTCTCCTCCTCCTCGATGCTTGACAATAATTCATCTACTAATGCTAGATGAAAGTTTGCCATAGTATTCCCGTCCATTTCGATCCATTTGTTGTCATCTATGAAATCTACCAGCCTTTCACTGATAGCTGCTAGACAACCGTCTTTCCTCAGGATGGCCCTCATCTTCAATTTTCACAATGAGAAATTTGTCCCATTGAACTTTTCAATATCAAATTTTGTTACCATAGCTTCTAATATGGATAGCTCCCACTATTTCACTATCGTGAATAGTTATCAGGAACCTTCAAAGAATGGTAATACCTTATTACTTTCTTATGTTGGAGGATCCACCTTTTGGTGGCAACCACAAAGACAATAAGTAGAAATTACATACTCTAATTTATCTTTGATGCCAATTGTTGCGAAAGACGACTATCAAATAGAGCAAAATCGCAAAAGATAATTTGAGAAAATAAAAATGAAGATAAAGAAGACACAAATTTTACGTGGAAAACCCCTAAATAATATAGGGTAAAAACCACGGGCAACGATAGAAGAATTTCACTATGAGAAAATAGGAATTACAACTTCTCTCTATCTACCAAGGAGAAAACAATAATAATTCTCTCTTGATAAAAAGAAAAAAACAACTCTAAAAAGCTCTCTAAATTCTCTAGTATTGGGAGAAAGCTTGAATGATTTAGGATGGTTTTGAAGCTAAATGAGCTAGGGTATTTATAGTTGAAGCTTAAGGAATAATCTTATAAATACCCTAAAGTACAATGACTAAATTATGATTTTACCATTGTCCAAAAAATTCAACAAAATCAAGTTGTAATTTCGGTGCCTACAATTGTTGAAAAATTTTAATAATTTTTTTTTCTTCTTCAACCATGCACTTTTGGTGCATTGATTTTCAACAATCTCCCACTTGATGATTTGATTGCAACAATCATATCTTCACACCATTCTTTCTACCTTGTAACTTCATATTGCTTATGTTTCTGACAGGCCACAAGAGGATCGACATCGAGTAAATGTATCATTTTTTACTCGCATTTGTCATGAAATCTGTTATGTTGTCTTTAGTATGGATTTTTCTACATATCTACCGTCTCTTCTTCCACCTTTTCACGAATGAAATGATAATGAACTCGTATGTGCTTTGTCCTTGAATGAAATGTTGGATTCCTTGCTAGATGCAAAGCTCTTTGACTATCACAAAACAGAGAGACATACTCTTGATTGTGGCCAAGCTCCTCCAATAGCATCTTCAACCAAATTACTTCTTTATTGGCTTGCGTAGCTGCTACATATTCTGCCTCTATTGTGGATGTAGCCACAACTGATTGCTATTTTAAAACCCAGCTTATAGCTCCACCAGTAATTTTGAACACATATCTAGCAGTGGATTTGCTTTTATCCAAATCCCCTACATAGTCAGAATCTACATACCCATTGATTAGTAAGTTTGATCCTCCATAACATATTGCAATATTTGAGGTCCTTTTGATGTATCTCAGGATCCTCTTTACTGTATTCAATGCTCTT